TTGGCATTTTATATGCAAATATAGTCAGTCCTTGGCCTTAAGGCCTTAATACCTATACCTTAATATGGGTGGCTGACATCAATCAACCAGCAAATTAAACAAATTAAACAACTCAATGACACATTGGAAGCTTGTAAGGAATATTCATACATACTGCTATGATTGTAACCCACATAAGGCTCAATAAAGGAAGCTTTAAACACGGATTTTTATTTTAACCATGTGACTGTAATTTTCAAATCTCATTTGTCTCTACTGGAAATAACTATCACTTTAAAAGAAATAGGATCCTTATCCTGGTGTTTTGAGACTAATGCATGTAGATTCGCATACACTTCCTGCCAACTGTAAACAGAGCTGATCAGGGTCTAATGAATTACAACCGACTTTTGTATGATCTTCTATTTGTTTTACATGGTTACCCTCGTCTATAGTTTGCAGCCCTGTTATGGACTTTTTTTTATATTCACAACCTCTTACATATATAGCAGACATTTTCTATATATCCTAGTCCTCGTTCATAGTTTCTGTATATTCCTGCACCCTTTTAAATGTTTTAAATGTATCTACCCTCTTTTATAGGTTTATACATTAATGTATTCTTTTACATTATCTGTACATTATTATTTTCTGCCCTCGTCGGTATTTACTAAATATTCCGTGCCTTTGATATGTTCTATACAGTCATGGCCACGTCTGAATTTTCTATATTGCTATGCCCTCTTCTGTATATATTCATGTCATCTTCTACAAGTTTTATAATACATATATTATTTTCTGAATTTTCTGTAAAACCCTGTCCTTTTTTATCATTTATATATGCCTGTCATTTTCTATATTTTCTATATATAAATGATATATTATTTACAAGAGGAAATTTTATATTTATTCCCTCTAATATATTTTCTATATATTCCAGTCCTGGAATAGTTTCTGTTGTGGTGGTCCTGTCTTTACACAATTTTCTGTTTCCATTCATTATCTTCCACAGTACTTAGAATAGATTGATTAATGTAATAATGACAGTAGCGATAGGTATAGAAGAGAGATACAGATATGTCAATATCTTGTAGGTCTCAGACAGGACCGGACTGGACTAATATAATATAAAAAACTTCATGAATATATCCAGTTCTCGAATACCAGGATAGTCTCACGCAGGAAGGATCAAAACTTTCCCTGTTACAACTGTTACATTTTTATTACCAGACAGAAACTTTCTTCAGCTAGTTGAGGTTTGTTTGTAGCATTTGTTGTTGTTATATATCCGATTCATCCCAGTCTAGTGCCACACAACGTTGTAATGTTGCAGACGACAGCGTGTAAGTGTTTATAAAAACAAACAACCATTTGGTCTGTAATTACTATTTCCAAATGTGTATTTCTATAAATATTCTTAGTTTATTCTAGCTATGCAACCTGCTATACGTCTGATTAAACAAACACTCAAAATACATCTAAACAATATCATATTATACCATTCTTTTTTTTTGTTATACAATGACTTGAGCATAGATTATATATATTATTGTGCGTTTATATTATATTATCAGATATCGTGCATATTATATATGTAAACTACACCGCAAACATGTGCTTATGTTAACCTGTTAACTTGAAGCACTCCTACCTCATTTTATAACAAATCGAATATTA